ACTCACAGAGATTGCATAGATCCCTTAAAATATTGGGATTGAAAGTGCCATTAAGTGGCCATTTGGAGGCATTGTCCAATGGATATTGGGCCAAGCCTGATTACAGAGAAAAATGAGCTTTTGTGGCTTAAGATCAGGCATTAGGTAGAGGAGCCCAAGTTTGGCCAGGAGACATCCCATTGGGGAGTCTGAGGGAATTTGGGATGGTCCAACTCCTATGGTGAAGGCCTGACCTGAGGAGAGATATAGCGGGTATCCCCGATATATCAGGTCCTCAGGAAAGAGAGACAGAAATGTGGAAAACAACCCCCAGAAGGAACGTCTTCACTACCGGGGTGTCCACAGTCCCAAGTGGGGAACCCAGCTCCCGGGACGAGAGCAAGCTGCAACCCAGCACTAGGGTTTTTGAGGAAATGAGAGAGAGACCACAGCTCTGCGTGTGAGGAGGATTCACTGAGGGAGAGAGGACCTTAAGGGAAGATTGGCCGGTGGTGGATGGTGGTTGGAGGTGCACTGGGGTGGAGGAACTTCCCCGTGAGCTAGAGAGAGAGTGGCGTTTTAGGATCGGGGGTCCCGGAAAAGCAGCTCAGATCCCGGAGGAAAGCCGGGAGAGCAAGGTCAGTGCCGGGAACTCAACCAGATCCTAGGTTTTGGCACCAAATGTTAGGAAAAATGCCGCTCTCAAAGAAAACTCACGTCCATAGAACAAAGTTTAACAACAGGCCCAAACTGCCAGGCTGGCCAGGTAAAAGATGGCACAGCCCCGAGCCTGGGCAAGCAGTGGCTTTTATAGAAGGGGGAGGGTAAGGAAGTTAGTAAAGGTGCAGTAGTCTCTGGTAGGGGTGGGGCTGTCTTAGAGTGTGGGAATTTGTTTAAGGGCAGGGCTGCCATTTTGGCTGATTCACAAAATGGTGACATTATTGTTCTATCACATATAAATTCCCTTAAGTAAAATATTGAATAATATGCTTGTGATAAACTGAGGGAATGGTTAACTGTATATCTATCCAGGTATGAATTAAGATAAAAGCATATATCTTCTGAGACAGATGGAGAATAAATAGAAAAACGACACTCAGATAATTCTTAATGGCAAAATGCTCTTCCACAAACCATATGCTGGAAAATATTTTTCAAGATACATCATCAAATATTTTCAATGAATTTTCTTCCATCACATGAAGTAGTTTATTATACAGTCATGGGTTGATGATGATGGGGATATGATCTGAGAAATGTGTCATAGGCAAATTTGTCATTACATAGCACACAAGTATATCCCGAAGTAGGAAAATGAGCTGTACCTTCTGGGATATTGTCACACAGCTCTCTTGCTCTGGGCACATAGAGGTGCTCAATGAATGGGAATTACTATTGGTTTCTATGCCTGGGTCTGCTCAGTTTTGTCCAGGTATCTCTGTCCATGGACACAACTGTGAAGTATTCACTGTCTTTCCTGCTCTCAGTCTTCACTTGGATTTCCTTAGTGCAGTGACAGGTACTCCCCTTCCTGATATCTCTCAGAATGGAGCACATGTTGATCATTTTAAAGATTACACTGCTACAGTCTGAATGTGAGTGTCCACCCAAAGTCTGTATGTTGAAATCCTAACCCCCAAGATGATGGCGTTAGAAGGTGAGGGCTTTAAGAAGTGATTAGGTCATGAGAGTGGGGCCCTCATGAATAGGATTGAATAAGATTATGCACTTGTACGGAGAGACCAAGCCAAGCATGGTGACTCAATCCTGTAATCCCAGTACTCTGGACGCTGAGGCAGGGGAATGAAGACTTCAAGGATCACCCAGGCTGCACAGAGAGTTCCAGGCCAGTCTAGGCCATGTAAAGAAACCCTGTCTTTAAGAAAGAAAGAGGTTCCAGAGCAACTCCTACTCCTTCTACCATGTGAGGACACAGTAAGACTGTGCCATCTATGAACCAGACGCACATCCTCACTAGATACTGAATCTACCAGTGCTTTGATCTTGGACTTCCCAACCTCCAGAACTGTGAGAACAAAATTTCTGTTGTTTTTAACCTATTCACTTTATGGTATTCTGTTCAGCAGCCCAAATGGACTTTTATCCCTCCTTTCATACAGCATAGTGTTCTGGTATATATTACTCAATTCAGTTTTGCCAAAGGAAAGGTAGTGTTCCTTTGTAAAACAATCTTAGGCATCAATACGTACCTACAGAGGCTGTAGTTAGAGATCTCAACTCTTTAAAGCTCAAACTGGTGCTAATCATAGGGCCATTAAATGCCAGAATGGGATGAAGAGTCAAAAAGGCTAGGTAAGCTCAAGCTGGCCTCTGAGGGCCAGTGGGCTGGGGCTGTGCAGGGGACTAGCAAAAAACAGACTGCAAGTGTGAGAACTAATAAATGGGCAATGCAGAGATAGTAACAAATACAATTGGGACCAAGTTTCAGACATGGTGTCCCAAACCAGGAAGTGAGGGAGTTCAATATCTAGAGAGTTCAGGTAGTTTTTAGGCAGAATAAGAAGGAATTTGAATGGAGTCGATGAAGGATTTGGCTGATAGATGAACACCCAAGTCACCTTCATTCTGTCTGGCAGAGACAAAGAGAAGGTCCTTCCTTCAGTACTGGCCATTTTATTGTTATTGAAAGCATGGGCAGTGAAATTGAATTGTGTCCCCCAAAGGGATTGTCTAAGCTCTAAGGCCCACATACCATAGAATGTTACCTTGCGTTGGAATTGTGTTTTGGCAGACTTAATTAGTTAGGATGACATTGCAATGGAGTGGGACCTTCATCCCAACATGACTAGTGTCCTGGTAAGAAAACCAAAGGAGAAGATGCTGTGTGACTAGAAGTTGTGCTGCAGCTGCAAACCGTGGACACCAATGATTGATGGCCTCAAAAATCCAAGAAGGGTCAGGAATGTCTCACAGGTTTCAGAGGAAGCACGGCTCCTGCACGTCAATTTTGGACTTTTATTTGGTTTTGTTTGATGATGCTGGGGAGTGAACAATCCAGGGCTGCATGCAATGATAGTCAACACTCTACTTTTGAGCTATAACCTTAGCCCGCAATTTTGGACTGCTTTCTTCCAGAAACTTGAGACAGAATATTTGAGCTGTTCAAGGTCATGTAGTTTATGTTGCTCTACCATGGCTGCCTTTGGAAACTAAGACTGTACCCAGGATATATGTTGTTGATTGCCCATGTTAAGAGTGCTTTGGAGCCTGTGAACCTCCAATGCAGACTCAGGTCTCTCCATGATTTCCATGGAGGTAACCTCCTGCTTTGACATTCAAATTCTGCTACACCCAGCATGTCCACCCCCAGGATCTATCACTTTTCCTTAGGTGTTCCTATGTGATCATGAACTGGAGACTGAGGCACATATGCCTGTTGCTCCTAGAACAAAGAGACCATTCCACTCTCAGAAAACCTGCCTGGGTACTGTGTCCATCAGATTCTCCCTCAATATCACAAACTCTCTTTTTCATCCAACTCTCACACGACCCATATGTAATTATATGTTTTCCCCAAGGAGCAGAGGTTAAGTTCATGTTATAAATCACTCTCCCTCAATTTCTAATATCTTGGCATGTATCCTTATGCATACAATGTTACGTATTCCCGGTAATGAATATTCTAACAATGAAGTGTGCCACCAGAATAAATTTTCTTCATTAATATTGAATATCTGAAGGCAGAACAGCTTAGGCTCATTAAAATGTATGCATAAATCTGTTCTTTTAAAGAGAATGGAACTTTAGCAGGAATGTATTTACTGGCCTTGCACTGACGACTGCTCCTTTCGAGAGTGCTGAAATTCCATTTCGGGCGCAAGCAATACTTAAGGGCTAGACAGTGGTTTCTACCACATTCTGATTAGAACAATTGGTCAAATTCAGCTTTTATAATGTATTTTTAGTTTTAATAATAGTGTGAATGACTTAGTTAAATGTTTAATGTTGCATTTCAATAAGACTTGAATAATCATTGCTTTAAATTAAGAACTATTGAAAAAGAGAGGAAAGAAGAGACCAAATCCAAATTAAATAATGAAAAGGAAAAATGAACAAGTAAAAGCAAGCAAAAGAGTAAAAGGAAGAAATAAAGTGTAGAAAGTATAAGAAGGCCAATTTTTTTTTCTTGATTTTTTTTATTATTGTTGTACTGGGGCACATCATGACATTTACAAAAGTCTTAATAATATATTATAGTTGAATTCTCCCCCTCCATCATCCTCCTTTATCCCCTCTCCCCCATTCCTGGAATAGTTTCTACATGTTCTCATTTTTTCAATTTTCGTACATAAGTACATAATATTTCATCCTATTATCCTCCTCCATCCTTTCCTTATATCCTCTCACCCTCCCACTGGCATCAACCCCCAGACAGGAACTGTTTTACCTTTCTGTTCTCTGTTTTGAAAAAAGACACTTTTGTTTGTTTAAGATAGCTATACGGGGTTTTCATTGTGACATTTCCATGTATATATGTATTATAACCCGATTGATTCATCCCCTCTATTTTTCTCTTTCTACCTTAGTCCTCTTCTTATGGTGGTTTCAAAAGGTTTAAAAATTCTGTATATATTCTTGTATAGAAAGCACATCAACCACACTCACCTTCTTCACACATTGCTTTTTACTCTTTGTCTCCTATAAGTGACCTCCCCTTAGCATGAAACTGTTTTCATTAATATGCTTGTATACTGAGGCCAGTTTCTTATGGGGAGAATTGTGATTCTGATCAAGACTGGTCCTTTTATCAACTGCAAAATGTGTTAAAATTATTCTAAAATAAATGTGCCTGTCTTGCCATCAGAAGACCAATGCTGGTGTATTTTCATGCAGATCTGGGTGACTTTGAGAAGCCATGGCCTTGTCAGTAGTACAGAGCCTACATCTGCATATACACATGAAATTTTTTTGTTCTTTGGTATTCTTCTTTTTGACCAAAGTAACATCTCAATTTGAGCACCACCTCATGTAAATATGATTGACTTCCCTAAATCGTAGTTATGACCAATGGCAAGATCCTGGGTATTGCTATTGGTAGGTTGCTGATTGCTGGCAGAGCCTGAAAGCAAAGGCTGACTGGGATCTCCTTGACTCCTAGGAGCTGAGGTGACGTACATTGAACATGACCGCCTACAACAAGGGCCGGGCTGCAGTCCTCCTTCTGGATTGTGGACAAAACAGCACGTGTATATCGGCAGTGCTGGTTTGGACTGGCGATCCCTAGGACAGGTAATCTTTCCACGTTGTCTAAACTCAAATTCTGTAGGCATCAAATCTTTTGCCTCCAGCAACCTCAAACCTTTTAGTTTAGCACTTTTTTACTTTGATTTTATTTTTGCAGTGCCAGGATCAAATTCAGGACCTGTGCATGTAAAGCATGCTCTATGACTAAGCTACATTCCCAACCTCAGCATCTATTGTTTTTAACTGTGTTAATTTTAAGAGTTTGCCTGATTAAATGTGAAAGCAAACCTTTCCTTTTCAGAATCATTTCACTAACCAATAACAAAATGACTTGCCATTGCTTTGATGCTTTTGTAATTCAGATGCTACTCTGGAAGTCTTCAGAGCAGGTTGGCATGCAATTTATGTTACTTCAAGCATAAATCTCAGGATACTATCACAAATCCATGAGACAGGAAAATACACAAATCCAACATAGGATGGATTCATTTAAGTTATTCCTTTAATAAATCTTAAAATGAAGATGTTATCATCTTACTCTTTGCAAATGATTAGTTTAAATCTTTCAAAATACATTTAGACAGTCTTATAATTTTCATGTTTATTCTTGCAGAAATGATCTGTACAGGATTACAAAAAATCACATCTTTTATTTGCCCATCAGGGTGAAAATTTAGGAAGTCTGAGCAATCAGTGTGCATACTACAACCATGTTAGCACAGCTCTTGACATTGAGATCACTGACATTGAAATCACCCAGTGACTTAACCTGGGCTTCAGTTTATCTCTTAGGGGAAGACAGCATTGAGTACAGGTAGATCTCTGGCTGTGATTCTGTAAAGAAAGACAAATCACCATTGGATAAAAGGATGCCCTGACAACCTGAACTACTGTCCTCCTGATCCCTGCCTCCCAAGTAGCTGGGATAACAGGCATGAGCCACCACTCTCAGTTCTCAATATTTGCATCTTTTAAGCCTAGTAATTTTGAGAAGAGAAAATATATATTTTATTCCATATGTTTCATGTCTGATGGACTTTTAAGCATGCCTATAAAAATATTGATTATAACAACATTGGCTCTTTAGAAATAAGATAATAATAGTATAAAGCTTTTTGAGTATTTAGGGGAAACTATTCTAACTATATCTCAGTCATCCTTGTGTCTTCTTCATACTTACAAAGAGCTAATTAATAAACATCTGCCCAGTAATTTTTAGTTGGATCTTCTATAATGAAGTACATAAACTTTGTTCTGTAAAAATATGGATTATATGTAAATTCTGCTGCTAAGTAGTTGCTAAACCATGTGCATTTATGCTTATTTATCTTTAGAAAATGTACTTCCCCACCACCAAATTTACTGCTTTTTTATGTAACTGTTATTGATAGCGTCTACAGTTTTGTGGATTCTATTTGCATGAGGTTCAATGAGTAAGCTTTGATGACACTTTCTCCCAAATTTTTAAAGCAAGTTTCTGTATTTCCTTTTACTCCCCCTTATACAGACTTACATACATTCGTATTGGTTTATCTTCTTGAAGATTATTACCTTTTTAGTGATATGTTCGTTTGTTTGGTTAAAAAGGAAGTATAATGTTGAAAATGTTGATTCTTCACCTATTTGGTTATTTTGATATTATTACCTTTTGGAATGGATCATCATTGTGAAGCATGAAAATTCCCAACTTTAGCCAAGTAAATTCAGAGTAAAGGCAAGCTTGAAATGGTCCTCTCTTAGGAACTGAAGACTCACAGTCATCCTTTGATTTTCCCTCTCACGCATTCCCAACAGTAGCAAAGTACAGAAAGCAGACTGTGGCCCATTTCTTATCCACAACCCACTTCAGCTCCTTTCCTTAAGGACCTATTGGCTCCAGTGATTGCCCTAATGCTATTCTCAGCAGTAATTGGAGAATTGCAGCTTCTCCCTATGCCATTGCATGGAACTTATCCCTAGAGACCCTTCAAGAAGAGATGTCACTCTGACCTAGTATGTCTAAGTCACACAAGAGAGGAAAAATAAACAGAGTAGATGTTTTAGGTTTCTTTCTTCAACTTGAATATATAAACAAAGTGAACTTTTATAAAACCCAAATGGATTAATATGGGTGTGGAGTAAATGTGAGGCAGGGAATTTAAAAATTAACGTATTTTATGACTCACCATAAATTCACTGATGGGAAAACCCTGGAAAAGTGCTGAGCACGCCCAACACCCTTTAAAGAGAAGGCAGGCAGAGAGCCATCCTCGCCAGCCTATCCACTGGGAGAGCAACCTTGGGCTGCTGCATAAAGGCCACACATTACATTGGTAGGAGAGATTTAAGCCACCAGTAATTTCAAGCTATAGGGGCTTCCCATATGGACTTCTTTTGTAGAAATCTGTGTTTCTTTGTTGGTTGTAAATTTAATATTAGGTTACTCCTTGAAGGTCAGAGAATTGGACAAGGCAGGGCAAAAAGAATCTTTTCTATAAACTCTACAATTATGTTGCCAAGCACTTGCTTTTGTTTTTTTTTCACTTATCATAATAATCTCCATTAGATAGTATTATGATATTACTCTACCTTGCCTTGGAAGGCAATATTGGAAAAATAAACCAAAACATAATCCATTGTTGCCTTTCTCTTCTACAAAAATAACAAAAACAAGCTCTAACTTATTTTGAAACTAAGCCACTAGATATGATTCTTATAATCTTACATTGACAGGTAAGTTGGTGAACTCTTCATCTTTTCATTTCATTCCTAGCAATTTGGACTCCCATATACATCAACAGAACTCACCATTTTCACATTTTTCTGCTGCTTTGTCCCGTCCTGCAGGACACATCAGCGTGGGTAGCGAACCTAGGGGAAGAATGAAGGGACAAGAGACACGAAGGAGACAGCAAGACAAGGGTTCTGATCAAGCTGCAAAATTTTATTGTTCACACAGGGGTATTTATGTGCTGAGGGAGTGAGGGGTACGACGAGTGCAGGCTGGTTGGCTGGTTCTGCTATAGGACTTCTGATAGGGTGCACGTTCGCGCCGGCGCAAGGTAAACTCCCGGAAGAGAAGCAGGGACGGCGCCATCTTGTGCTGGAGGTGGAGAAGTTGGGACAAACAACCGTGGGCAAGGTCAAGACAGAATGGCTCACAAAGGGAGCCTTGTCTCCGACATTTCCCCCTTATTCTTATACAAACATGACCAGAATATGTCGGCTTATTGAGAGGGGATGACAGAGGCCCAGTTCCTCAGGGTGGAGATCATTTTGCTTTGTAAGCAAGCGTCCTTGCTAAGTTCTCAAGAGAATCTCCTCGGCATGTTTTTTGAGGAGGCGGATTTTTTAGAGCATGCCAACCGCCATGCACCAGGGCATGTCATACAGAGGTCTTGGGTCTGGGGATCCTAGGATCCACCCTCCTGCAGTCTTACCTGCACCCTCGTTTAGAAAAGCCTTTATGATCACTCTCCCTGGGTGCTGCCTCCCCCAAGCAGAGGGGCCCAGTGGAGGAGGGCCCAATGGGCGATGAGTGGTCAAGAATGTTATATAAGAAGAGGGGGTGGCAGAGAGAAAATTTGGAAACCCAGATGGAGCATTTAGCGAGTTCTTATTGAAAGGAGGGTCTCAGGAGCACGGTCTTCCATATCCAGACGATGATAATGGACCTGTATAGGCTTAGAGGCTAAGGTGTTAATTTGTTCTTTAATGAATTGTATCAGCCTGTTTATAATGCAGGGCCCTATGATCACAATTAAAAGTAGACCTAGCAAGGGGCCTAATAGTGGAAGAAGGTAGGGTAGAATTCCATTAAGTCCAGTCCAGAGGGGGTTTTCAAATAGCTCCCTTCGTCTCTTTTCTAAATCTTCTTGAAGCTGTTTAATTTTGGTGCGTACTATGCCTGATTTATTGGCATAAAAGCAGCATCTTTCCCCTAAGGCCAAGCAGATACCTCCCTGGTTGGCTGTTAGCAGGTCTAAGCCTCGCCTGTTCTGAAGGACTACTTCTGCCAGGGAGTCTATTTGGTCCTGTAAATCCTTAATGGTTCCAGATAGAGTTTGTACATCATTATAAGTTGTTGAGATAGGCGACGGTAAGAGTGTATAGCCGTGCCTAAGCCAGCTGTACCTGTGCCTATAGCTGCTGTTATTCCAAGGCTGGCAAGGAGCGGCAAGGCTTGTATTGCCCGTTTATGTCTTTTAATTAAGGTGTCTAAGCTAGGAATGGGCAAAGGTTCATCTCCTGAAATAACAGTAATGTCTGGGAGTAATAAGGCAACAACACAGCCACCAGTCCAATTTGCTGGAAGCCTGGGAAGGCTGAGTTTCCTCCACACAAAAAAACTGTACCGTTGGGGGACAAAGAACTGGGGTGGGTGAGGAATAATTTAGAACTGATGAGCAATTTCCAAAAGAACTAACCCCAACGTCAATATCATAAGAATTATTTTGCATCCTGCCTTGAAGGCATACTGTAGGTGCATCCATAGGCTGTACTTTAAAGGGAAGTCCAGATTGGCAGGTATCCTGATTATTTATGGTGGAGTTGACAGGTATTGCCATGGGCATTACTGCTCCTGTGGTCATGCAAAGCCAGCAATCCTTAGCAAGGGTGGGGTTGGAAGTGTTAAGCAAGGAGAAGGTACTTCCCAAAATATCTAATGTATTGGGATCTAAATCTGGAATCTGAGATTTAGGCAACATTAAGGGTGATATGTGAGTTCGGGGATTTGGGGTTTTAAAAGCTCAATCACTTGAAGATGTTTGACAGCATCCGTGGGTCCTCCACCGTCAGAGACCCCTGTAGGGGCCTTAAGGGGCCAGCAGGAGGGTTTGCCAGCGCTGCCCTCACATCCAGCCAATTTGCCGGAGAGGTGAACGGTATATTGGGTTTGGCCGAGAAAGCCGGGTATCTGCACGACAGAGTCGGCGCTACCTCCCCCTATGACCCCTTGTTCAGAGCCAGCAATAAGAATGGCCTCAAAAAACTGTTGTCCGTTTTTGCCGCGGCAGAGAGAGGCTTGGGCATAGCAAGAGCTATGCACTGCCGAAGTGTGGTGA